GGCTGTCACTCAAACAGATGTGGTTCTCAAACATCTGCTCGGTCTGGGATTTGTTGTCAACACAACCAAGAGTGTGTTACAACCCAGTCAGAACATTCCGTTTCTGGGTCTCAAACTGGACTCTGTCGGTTACATGGCCCGTCTCTCTCCAGAGAGGGTGCGCAAATTTGTGGGGACGCTACTTCGTTTCTCTCCAGGGAAACTAGTTTCCTTCGGTCTGTGTCTGAGACTTTTGGGTCTGATGGCTTCGGTGATTATGGTTGTGAAGTTGGGCAGGCTTCACATGCGGAACTTCCAACTCTGGGTGCATGCGCTAAAGCTGGATCCCGTACGTCACCGTATGCGCACAGTCAGGGTCACTCCTCAGTGCGCGCTCGCATTAAGAGAGTGGCACAGGAAGGATCTTTTGACCGAAGGGGTGAGTTTAGGCACTGTCTCGTCCAGGAAGGTGGTGACCACAGATGCTTGCCTCACGGGCTGGGGCGGTGTGTTCGAGGGCAGACCCGTAAACGGGGTATGGAGTCCTCACCTCCGCCGCGCTCATATAAATTATTTGGAGCTCATGGCAGTGGCACTTACGCTGAAACATTTTCTCCCGTTCCTCCAGGGGCACCATGTGCTGGTGAGGACGGACAACACAGCCACTGTGGCTCAGATAAATCGCCAAGGGGGACTGCGCTCCCGCTGCTTGCTCGCGCTCACGCGCAAGCTTCTCCTGTGGAGCGATGCGCGCCTCTTATCTTTAAGAGCGACGCATGTTCCCGGCGTTCTGAATGTGGGCGCAGATCTCCTGTCCAGAGGGAACCCCCTATACGGAGAGTGGCGTCTGAACACATGGGTTGTGGACCAGATCTGGGTCAGGTTTGGCCACGCATCGGTGGATCTGTTCGCATCCACAGAGAATGCTCACTGCCCACTGTTCTTCTCCCTACACGATCACCATGCGCCTCTGGGAGTAGACGCGTTCTCTCACGAGTGGCCTCAGGTGCCGCTATATGCCTTTCCGCCTCTAGCGCTGATTCCTCCCACTCTCCTCAGAGTAAGAGAACGTCACCTGAGGCTGGTTCTGATAGCCCCGCACTGGAAAGCCTGTTTCAAAACAGAGGCTTTCTCATTGGGTGGTGGAGGCCATATCATTGGCTTATTCCACGGCAGGCCTGCAGGTCTCGGTTGGCCTTAGGGCCCATTCTACCAGGGGCCTGGCGACCTCATGGGCCTGTTTCAGGGGTGTGCCTATTCAGGACATTTGTGCTGCTGCTAGTTGGTCTTCTTCCTTGACCTTTGCAAGGTTTTACAGGTTGGACGTCACGTCTCAGGGTTTGTCTCACGCCGTCCTCAGCGTGGGTTCTCCTGAAGACATGCCCTGATCTTTGGCTCTCTCATGGGTTTTTGGCTGGCATCATGTCATTTGCGATAAGCTTGTCTGGCAATACGGGAGTCTCCATATCCCATAGTGAGACATCGAAACGAATACTATGAAAGAGAACTTTAGGTTACTTGCGTAACCCCGGTTCTCTGAGTAGTATGAGTGAGATGTCTCACCAGATCGCCCTTCTTGCTTTGGGGGTGAAGCGAGAAGAGGTGTGCTTATTGAATGGCGGGTGACGTCGTACGAGTGGCATTTATAGTGGGTGCCAACGTCGCGACGTCACCACTGCCAGCCACTCAGGGCTGGCGTAACGGTATAGGGCTTCTGTGAACACCCGAGGGGGGCGTTCCCATAGTGAGACATCTCACTCATACTACTCAGAGAACCGGGGTTACGCAAGTAACCTAAAGTTTTCCCATAGACACAGACAGGGGAGTGTTGGTCGTCGCCACGGTAACAGGGTCAAAAAAAATCATATGACAAAACAGAATTATGTGCAAAATTTCAAACATTTTGAAAAAACAAAATTTTATTAGGCCCATATAAAACTTTGACATAGTCTGTAGGGGGCGCTAATGAGCAAATTTCAATATTTCCACTTTCAAATGACCTAGACCCTGGAGCTGAACAATGGATAAAAATTTGGTGCAAATCCGGCTTATTTTGTGCAAACAGGAGCAAATTTACTTTTGTCAAAAATCCCCAAAAAAATGTCACAGTTTGACGCTCCGCTGCTCGGACAACGTTTAACTGATTCAAATTCTATATTCAATAATTGATTGTACATGTGTTTAGACCATGTGGAGCAATTTTGAGAGAAATCAGTGAAACGGCCGAGGAGGAGATAATTTCCAACCGACATGTGTGAAAAATATCAATTTTCATTTTTCCATTTCCCATTGAAAATAATGAGCTCCCTGTTTGTCAGGGGGCGGAGCCATAATAACTTTTTTTCATGTCTTGACCTGAGGAATATGTGTACCGAGTTTCGTGGCTCTACGACAAACTTGACCTCCGACCCGCTCCCATAGGCGCAATGTAAACTGACTTTTGTAGGGGGCGTTGTTCGGGCATTTTTTTAGTCCCATAAAAATAAACACAAAAAAATAAAAATTTTTGCCGGTTCTGAATTTTGGGCCAAATTTCACAACTTTTCATCAATGTTCAGGGGGTCAAATTAAGGTTCAAAGCGCAGAAGAAAAAAGAAATAAATAAGGATTTTTTTTTTTTAAATCTTCGAGCAAATTTTTTTAAATAAGACAGTTGAAAGAACACACCTTTAATAGGACCTCAATCATTTCACTGTGTACTACAGCAGGAGCAAAGCCATTCCGTGCCTCCGGCACGGATTTATCAGTGCTTGGGCACGTGCCGTCGCGTGCAGGTCACAATCTCCGTGCAGGAGCAAAGCCATTCAGTGCCTCCGGTTTTGTCAGTGTCTGGTCACGCGCCGTCGGGCTTGGGGGACGAATGTCCGGGCAAAGCCTGGACATTCGTCCGTAAGACAGTTGAAAGAACCCCCCTTTAATAGGACCTCAATCATTTCACTGTGTACAGTAGGTCCCATTTCGTTTTGTCGCCTTTCACGCGTGAATAGCACGAGACTCACGTGTGAAACACGCGTCTTTTATTTTGTTTTCCCCCAGTGATGCTGCAATGACCCAAAAAACCACCAGGTGGCACTTGTGAGCAGTGCCACCTTGAGCTTTATGACACCCAGTCATAAAGCTCAAGTCTTTGGCGCAGGAGGACCTGGGTTCGACTACAAGTTAAAGACTTTTGATACAACTCCACAATCAGCACCAAGTTATGAAGATAAAATTATTCCACTTTTGTACTGGCTTTTTATCTTTGCAGGGTTAGGAACATTGTCGGAAAATCTTCTGCTTTTAACCTCTTAACTCCCACCTGAAACGTTTTCTCCAGTGTTAAAAAAAAAAAACGTAGTAATTAGGCCAACACATTTAAAATAGTTGCTAGACTGTAGTAAACTGTTGTAAACTTCACAATCTGCACCAACCAAACTGCAGGAAAAAAAATGCAACTGTATTCAGTGCGGGATGCTTAAAATGCCTTATATGCAAGTTAATGCAAATGTTTGCCATATGATCTGCTACTCCTGTGCATTTTAGAATTCCTAATTAATGCGCACAGGCTCTTCTGTCTTTAGGACAGATAGATTTCAGATAGAAATTGCTACTAGAAAGCATGGACGTCGGAACTATTTTCTGAGAGGGGGGGCGGGTTTTTGTTGGGAGAGTCGAGGGAGAGACTCATACTTGGATTACACTGGATAATAACATACCATCTTAATTGTTAAGAAAAATAAACAATATATATCAAGCAAGTCACTTATCAAACTGAACTTTTTTTTTTTCAATACGCATTCATGCGTCAGTCTCTCCGGTGGCTTCATTGTGTTGTGTAGCCCAGTGACGTGCGGTCAGATGAGGCAGGTAAGGCCTTCACCTAAGATCATAGAAAGAAAAGTAATATAATGGATACAATAATGTTTGGTCACTTTATCAAGTGATTTGTGCTGTGCCTTATTTAATTTATTTATACCTTGAAATCGCAGATTTGACAGAGCGGCGCTGTGAGGCAAGCCTCTCTTGGGAGACGTAAAAAGCAACAGCTCAGGGAGAGTCCTGTGAGGTGCTATCAAACTGTTTTCTCTGTTTATCACAGTTTAAAAAGTTCAAAAATATTTAATTTACAATCAACATGTTTACATTTAAGAGGATGGCTCATAAATTGTGTTTTTGAAGCAAATATGGGTCTTAATCGCGCTCAACCACAGCTTGTAAGTGAGGAAAGCCTCAAGGGGGCGCTTGTGAGCCCAAACTTTGGCTGCATCCAATTCCATCAGAAAGCTCCTTTCTTGTTCTTCTTCTGCTAAGGGCAGCTACAGGTTTGGCTAACATACCTATAATACATTTTAAGATAATTTAAAATGCACTTAGAGTAATGTTTTGCTTCCAATGATGATATGAATCATAAGAAAAAGAGGTGAAGGGTAAGGTTGAATTTAGAAATTGGATTTACCCGGGAGTCGGCTGCAGCAAAACTCGCAGTTTACGGAGGAGACACCCGTTTTTTTTTACTTTTTAAAACTCATTGAACTTATTTCCAAATGGAGGATTACATGTCTGTGCTCAAACTATTATCTGGACTTAAACATGAAACTGGTCCTAACTGAAGTGGTCTGTGCTGTTCATTAACACCTAAGGTATAAGGCCCATAACACACTTTGTACTTTTTACAAACGTTTGCGTTTTGTATGAGAAAACTATGCAGACATTAAATCATATTCTGCTGTAGCCAAACAAATTGTGTATAAGCCGCTCCTGTTCCTGTAGGTCCTGTTGGTTTATATGATGTATAATCATATGAACAAATGATTGATCCCCCACCGCACGTCACTGGTGTAGCCAGGTCTCTAATCTGAGGCTGAGAAAGAGCGCTCAGAGGCTGCGACAGATATTAGCCAGACAGAGCTTCATAAGCACCTCCGACAGCATGGAGCGGGTTTTGGGCTGCAAGGAACGCAGGATAGTGATAACTTCTCGCTCCCGGCACACGCGGAGGGGGTGCGGCCGCACCCCCCGCACCCCTAGTTCCGACGTCTATGCTAGAAAGGCGCTCTTAGACGCTGCTGTTGTAGCGAGGGCTGACGCAGCCTCATGCCGCTCCCGATCTCGGCAGAGTTTTTGAAGTGTACAGTAACTCTACCGAATACAATTACTCAAAATGAGTATTCTAACAATTTGAAAGTTATACCAGTTATACCACTTACTTTGAAATAGCATTCAGTAGCGACACTTTTAAACATAAAACACATTCTTACGATATTGCTAATACAAATTTATGATGGGGGGAAAACTTTCTTTCTCCGTGTTTTACAAATATAATGGAGTTGGCTGATGAATGTCTGCTTAGTTTGTGAACTGTATTGAACTAGATTGACCAGGGCTCGAGTCCACAGGAATGTCGAAAATCCAGTTCATCTTCACATATGCAAAACATCTTCACATAGCCTATCACTCAGGCGAGCAAAAACCGAGCACGTTTTCTCCAGTGTTAAATAAAAAATACTTAGTAATTAGGCCAACACGTTTAAAATAGTTGCTAGACTGTAGTAAACTGTTGTAAACTTCACAATCTGCACCAACCAAACTGCAGGAAAAAAATTCAACTTTATTCAGTAACGGAGTAATCTGATTCATATACTCCCCCCGCTAATAAAAATTGAGGATTGGCCGGGGCTCGAACCCCGATCGTCCAAGCGAAAGTCTTGGAAAATCCTGCTACACCACACAGGCGCTGGAGAAAACCCAGGATCTAATAGGAGAGATCGCTGAGTGAATGAGCCGTGCGTATGTGCGGGGCGCTTAAAATGCCTTCTATGCAAGTTAATGCAAATGTTTGCCATATGATCTGCTACTCCTGTGCATTTTATAATTCCTAATTAATGGTAGCTATATGTAACATGTGTAGTTAAAATTTTTGTAATTATACACAGCCTATATATTGCTAATCAAAGTAAAAGTATTCAGAATATAGTGTACACTCGTGTTTGTTTTGTTCCAATGTTTCACGTTCAATAACGCACTTGCTGCTGGCTATCCCATACTGTAGAAGAAGTCAGAAAGGAACTTTTGAGAAGAAGTGTTTTTATTAAAAAATAAGAAGTAAAAATAAGTAATAAAGTAAAATACAATTGTATTGTTACAGAACTTACAATACAGTGCAGTAAGTTAGTACAGTGTTTTACAGAGTCAATCCTTTGACTTTAAACCGCGTTCTGATAGGCCCGAAGTGAGCAAAAAATCCTTTTGACAAGGAAAGAAGATAACAAGCTGATAACGTTACGTAATTGCACACAAGCAACCAAAAGGTGTGCAACCAAAATTGCCTCAGACAAGAATCGAACCCAGATCCCCCAGATCCTAACCTGCAACTCAAACCATTCGGCCAACATAGTATCACTAGGCAAATAATGTTTGCACGCAGACTTATACCTGAGCGTTTAAGTCGCTGGCAGAGCTAAAGCGGACTTAACCTGCCACCTTGTGGCAATAAGATGTAATATGTTTCACGCAGCTGCGTGATTCATGAAAAGCGTGAATGAAGACGACAAAATGAAATGGGACCTACTGTACTATAGCAAGAGCAAAGCCATTCCGTGCCTCCGGCACGGATTTATCAGTGCTTGGGCACTTGCCGTCACGTGCAGGTCACAATCTCCGGGCTGCGCCCAGGCATTACTCATTGGAAAAGCAATAGGCCCTTACCCCGGTTGGGGCTCGGGCCTAATAAACCAAGGAATTTTTTTTTTTAATCTTCGAGCAAAAACAATATAGGTTTCCATAGTAACCTATAATACAAATGATATGTCGTTTTAAAGCGAACAACGAGGCGAACGCAACTATTGGGGGCTCGGTGATTGACGAGCGCTGACGCGAAGCCCAGGCATTACTCGTTGGAAAAGCAATAGGCCCTTACACTCTAAAAAATAATGCCCTAGTCCAACGAGAAAAATTAGGGCAACCCTCTCCGCTCAACTTTTTGTCTTGTATCAAGAAGTGCACAATTGAGTCAAAGTAAACGCTCTTTTTGTTTTGAGACAACTCTATTTTTATCTTAAATTGATCATTTTATTAACTGAAGACAACTCAATAGTTCTTTTCATGTGTATAGTTTTTTGTGTTGCATACTCACTTTTTTAAGCTTCATGTACTCAATTTGTAACACAAGGCGTACTCATTTTAAAATACTTGCAACTTAAATTTCTTTGTTACAGCTACCCTTTTTTATATTGGCCTTACTTAATTTTAGTAATTTTACAATGTATTTTTAAAATATATTTCATACAGACAACAAAACAGATTATCAAACTGATTTATTTTTTACAGTACTGCAATACTGGGCAGATTTGACAGTAAAATCCACAACATCTCCATCTTACACCAACACTGACATTAAACTTCAGTGCAATTTAAAAACTATACCTGTACTTAACAGCAATAACAGTCCTCTTAACTAGGGTTTTACAACCTGAATTTTTGGAGTGCTATACATCACATTGTGGCTCCACTTTTTAAGTACAAATATGATGCATTAATGTAACCCTTCAATTAACTATACATTAACTGTAAAAGTATTTTTTTTTCGATAGAATACAAATGAATAAGAATTAAGAACATGGTGACAAGTTAAAACTGCATGCATAAACGCATCTCCTTCAACAGATTCTCAACATTTGAACGTAAATAAACAATTGGTTGAAAAGAACTGTATGTAGTGAACAACGTTATAGATCTTATAAAATGCTTCTTTTGAGAGCCAGAACCTTGGCACTCATTTTCAGTGTGTCTAACTCGAGAAAAAGTTTCTGAAAGACTTCAAAAGTGTACTTTAGTGTCTTTTTGTAGTTGAGATTCAAAGCATAGATGACACCCATAAGAAGAGCACAGCACCTTGGGATATTTTTTTCCATGATGACTTGGGTTCCTTCAATCACAATTGCTCCGGTCCTGGTTGCAGATGATTCTTCTCCGATGATTGCAATACTCATGGTCAAGCGATGAAAACCCACTTCATAGTCATCAGTGCTCTATTGAAAATATAGAAAGGAATTTTACTTTTGTCTTATGTATATATTCTAATAGTTCATACAGAATACAATATTATTATAGTTTTATTAATTCTATGAGGTGTTCAGAAAAACATACTAAAAGTCAGAAGAAATCCAGGTTGGGCAAATACGTTTCATTTTCATCATAACTGAAGATGTACCAATACAGCCAGAGAACTGGAACGGATTTTTTTTTTCACAATGTAATGAAATAAGTATCCATTATTGTATTACAAATTTCTAATTGTACTATACAAATGAGCTCAACATATAGTGAATATACCCAAATCTGCATTTAAACATGACTGTAATACCCATAAAATGTAGCCTATTGCGGGTTAAAAAAAATGATGTCAAGGTTGCAACAGGGGAGTTTTTTTATTACTATTTTTTCTCTTTTTCTTTTTCTTTTTTTCTCGCCTAGACCCCATCTTAAGATCCCAGACAACTGGGACAAGTTACAGCTTGCGACTGTACGTAAAAAAGCTACATAATTATACCCACAAAAGGTAGTTTTTGTGTTTCAAATGCAGATGTATATTTCATTTGTGTTGAGCTCATAGAAACTTATACAAAAAACTACTTTACACTTTCATATAAAAAAAAAAAGATTTTAATAACTATGACTAACCATCTTGTAAATATTTTTTTCAGCCCCTGGCTCCAAAGAGTGAAACGGTGCTTGTGGACGCGCCATGATTCTGTAGCAATAGGATTTTGTGATGATGACGTCGTGGCCCTGCAGCCCCTCACTCCTATAGTGGATGTCCCCCGTAACAGGTTCTCACAACGGCCCCGCACTCCTATAGCCGGGGCATGGTGTCCTGCAGCGGAGAATGGCAGGGGCAGGACCGCGCAGCGGTGTTTGAGTCCGTACCACGGAGTGGCTCGTGAGCTCTGTGGTACGGACTTGTCCCTGCCATTCTCCGCTGCAGGAGACCATACCCTGGCTAAATAAGTGTGGGCAGCGGTGTGAGAACATGTTACGGGAGACATCCACTATAGGAGTGAGGGGCTGCAGGGCCACGACGTCATCATCACAAAATCCTATTGCTACAGAATCGTGACACGTCCACAAGCACCGTTTCACTCTCTTTGGAGCCAGGAACTAAAAATAGTCATAATTATGAAACAAAATGATATTTTTGTTCGAACATTGCCCTTCCATAGTGATCAGAGTGGAGGCAAAAAAATCTGCCAACGTAAAACTGTTGTATGTTGTTCTGGACACAAAAATTATCTCAAAACGCTATTTTCCCTGGCCCATAGGCTTTTGTTTTGCGTGTATATGCATCATTTGTGCAATTTTACTTACATCAAAATGTGCAAAGAGGTCCTCTTCTTTTTCATGTAAGTATACAATTAGGGCGCGAATAGCTGCCTCTCGACGAGCGTCTACCTCAACGTTTTTGGACTGAAAACAATAGGGAAAAATTATTATAGAGCGCTTTTCACAGATACTAAACAGTTGTAGCCACCACTGTGAATATTAATTCAAAAACCCTACCAATCATTGCCAATGTGTACGTTTCTGGAAATAGTACAAGATATGTTTTATATCAGTTTTATACAGATTTTTTTTTTATCTGACCGAGACAAACCCCGGAGTTCAAAAAGCAGAGCAGGTTCCAAAAGTTTAAAGTTTCAAATATTTTCAAAGTAAAGACGTTTCAGCTCATAATCAATGTATGAGAACTGTATTAAAGAGGTGGAGATGTTAGTCCTGAGCTCATTTCACCTGTTGAATAAGCCCAGCACAACAGTGATTCAGTAGCTCATTGGGCTAGAAAGAGTAGCTCATATCAAAATCGACAATGAAACCTAGATGATAGCAGAAACCACCCTAAACTGAAAACTTTTTCAAGATGAAAGTTTTGAAAGCTGCTAGGCTTTCAGACAGCTTTCAAAACTTTCTGGCTGGATCACTCCTGGACAAATTAGTTAAAATTCTACAAAAAAGATGATTGAAACTAAATACCTGAAGAAGACACTCTCTTATTTTTCGTATTTTCTGTCCAGTAGCTCCTCCTCGGTCTGACCCGATCTCCATTAGTTTGCTAATGCAGTGGTCCAGTTGTGCCATGAAGGTGGACTCCAGTCTCACTGTCGTAATTCTTTTGAATTCTTCATTTATCTGCAGCACACAAAAATTAAACAGATACTTCATACACATCATTACACCACTCAGAGTTGTGTAAAGCAGTGGTTTAACGTGTAATGCATGCATACATATATACATTACCTGTGATGCATTGAAAAGTGCTGGCCAGCGCCCCAGGAAATCCTTCACCAGCGGCTCTTCACACAGGACTTCCTGACGACAGAGAGAGAAAGTCCGGTCCATTTTTTGTGCTGTTACATGACTGTCCCTCTTGGTTCTTTCCAGTAAAAGTTCCTGTCGCTCTCTCTCCAGAGTGACACTCGTTTCCCCTTGAATATGTGGAGGCAAATAATTCACTTCAGCCTTCTTGGGCTTCTTCACATTTTTTGCAGGGGTTCGATCGTGTGCTTGTTTCCTTTGAAGTGAATTCACAGTGAGCTCAGGGCAACCCATGCCTCTTAATTTTGATCTAAAGTTTCCCATCTTATGCTTCAGTCGCTGGATCCAACCATAGCACCCATTAAAAGATCCTGGCTCGTGAAGACACGGGTGTTTAGAAACTAGGGCTGTCGCAACTTGACTGAAATGAGCACTTGAAGGGTAGGCTATGTACTGAAAAATACCTTCTGCCAAGTGGCTAAGAATGTCAGGCAAGATTGACATCAGGTCTTTGGAGGGTAGAAGCGTCTGAGACGATCTGTACATCTCATTTCCAGTCGAAAGGATTATTTCTGTGGGTGATGAGAAACGAGGAATTGGGAATTCCACTGGCCAAGGTGTCGAGCGTTGATTTTCAGGTGGAGACAATGAAGATGATGAAAGAGTGAGGGTGTCGTCAGAGGAGAGTGAGGGGGCATCTTCAAAATGTGGATCTGGAAGATCTAAGCGCATTTCATCAGTGCTTGAGGAGGTGTCAACACTTGATAAATTCAGAGTGATTATTGGTTCCTGGGTATATACGATCTTGATAGTGTCCTTATCCTTAATTTCCGATGTTGAGAGTAGGGAAAAAAACTCATCTCCAAAATCTGCGTCCTTGTAATGCAATGTAAAATCACTAGAAATGTTGAATGTTTCTTTCAATTGGGAATTTAGTGCTTCCATTGTTGAGGGAATTCCATTTGGCAACACAAACTTGCGGATCACATTGTCACTAATGACGACACGAAGAATTGTTGATTCTGTCATCATTCAATCTGAAAAAATAAAAAGCAAATAGTTAAAAACATTACAGTTAGGCCTGTCATGATAACTAATATTAATGGACAATATGTTGTGATACACAATATTGAAACTTCTTTATGCAATTGATGCAAGTTCAATACAGCAAGATCATCCCAAGTAAAGAAATTATTAGATTTTGTATAAATCTTCATAAATTTTCTAAGAAACAAGCCAAATTCTATTCTCTATTGCAAATACAAATCTATACACAATTAATATAAAGCCCAAAAATATATAGTTCCATCAAACAGTCAATATAGTAATATTGTGACAGGCCTAAAAACAGTTCTGGTGAGTTGCATTTTAAAATGAATCCACTGTGATCAGACGCCTCAGGGTTATGATCTTGTTTCCACCCAACATATAAGGTGTTAAAGGAAACACATCTGTTAAATCCTCTGGCTCTATCACTTTTACTCTATGAGTTTTCTCAAGGATGAAGCTTCTCAGATGCTCAATGGACCATGCAGTCAGACATTCCACAATAAATGCAAGAGACCCTTTCACAGCAACAATTTGCAAAACTTCAACAAAATCAGGAAGACCTCCTGTTGAGCCATGAGCAAGGATCATTCCAACAGCATATTTCGTGCCATGATAATGTACTACTTTAGTTAAGTGTATCTCGGTCTCATTTGGGAACTTCGAGTGGAGTGCTTTCTGGAAGTCAGCTCTTAAGACAGCAATGTCGACTGGTGAAAGCTGCATTGTTTGTAATGCAGGACTAGCATTGCCGTGATCTTGCTGGTTGTGATATGCCATCATCAGTTGATGTTTAGCTGCAAGTGATAGTAGAATATTACGAAAGCAGTGTGTGTGTCTGGCAACACGCTTGAAGAAGCTGTGTTTTGCCTCAAACCTCATAGTCCACTGGTGTACAAGTGGACCGTAGTGTCTGATCAGTTGACTGTAATGTTCAAGGAAATGATGTTTTGGAATTAGTTTTTCGTCTGGAAACACCTGAAGGAACTTGTGCCTGTGTTCAGAAATTTTACTATCAAGGTAGCATATTGTCTCCTCTGTGTGGACTTGGCCAACAACAAGTTCTACTATGTCTTTAAGCAGTAAAAGCACCTCCCATGCAGCTTCACCTTCTGGAATTTTATTTCCAATGATGAGAGGCAATAATCTCAACAATGACCAATTCTCATGGGCATTTCCCCCAACACTTTTTTTAGCTGCAAAATGCATTGGGACTGATTGTGGTGCATCCGTTTTGTCTGTCCATTTGTAAGGGAATGTTTTGATACTTTTGTTAAGTTCATCAATAGTGAAATACTTTCTTTGGATGAATACTTGAAGACACAATGAGAGTTTCTCTAGGAACTATACCTTCAAACAGATCGTGCATTGCATCTGGCGGGTAACCAGATGTGACATGAAAGTACTTAAGACTATTTGTAAGTACACATTGCTTTTTCACTCCAAATACATTGTTTAATGTAGCATTTTCCTGCACAATCCGAACATGCTCTTCATGCATTTCCCTAGTTCTTGGAGTAAATGCTCCTGTTCTCACTTCTTCACTTTGAAATTCTTTATGTTGCCCCAAACAAAATCGACACACATAAGAACCTGAGAAGCTTTCCACAAATCCCCCCATTGAATGGGCCCCTAGATTATCTGCCACAACACTGAAGACTGTGCCCTTTACCTTTTTCCCAAGCGAGGGAATATAGAGACCTTCTGTTTCTAAGGTGGCAAGATCCTTCAGCAGAGGCTGGAGTACAGTGCTGTAACCAAAGGACTTCACATCATCTGACCTGCAGAGTACAGCAAGGTGAATGGATGTTAAAGAAGACCTCAGCAGTGCAGGAATATTTGCCAAAACCCAATACACTGCAGTGATTTTGTGTTTTTTTCTTGAGGTCCCAAGTGGATTGCAAATCTCAAAATCATCACAGTATAGAGTAATGGAAATTGTAGGATCATTTTCACAAAACAATGTATTTGTTTTATAGTGAAGACCATCAACGAAGGATTTATATATCATGTCACTGTGCGTTTTTGGGTTTGAAAGAATAGTCAGTATGTTCTCTTGACTCATAATATGGAGGAGTGACTTTAAAATAGGAACATACTGAAAGCTTCTACCATTGTCCTTGTCCATAACAAATTCAACTGGTTCAACCATTGAAAAGTGTTTTTTGAAATAAGCCATTCTTTTGTAGGATGTAGAAAGTGGTCCATTTTTTCTCAGGGCAGAATTTATAGGATTTGAATCACATAGCTCTGTCACTATGTCTGACAACACTGACCCCTCAATCTCAAAATTGTGCTTACTCAAACATGACTGTATAGTGTCAGTTATTATGGGTTTAGAAGCCGACTGTGAGATGAAACACAACTCCTCAACAACATCATTAATGCATTGGTTAGAAACCTGATAAGTACTCAACATTTTAAGGAACATCAATGCTATGTTTTTTTCAATGATGTTAGGTAGATCTCTCACATTAGTCTCATCATTTAAGGTAATGGGGTCGTCATGTTCAATATCCATATCACATTCTGAATCATTGTCATTGTCTGGTGCACGTGCATACCGCTTTAGTAGGTCTTCTTTGAAGTCCTTCAATGCGTGTGGGGTATGCTTTCTGGTTCTGTGGGAAGAAAATGTCCCATATACATTAGTTTTAAAACTACAATTCTTAAAAACACAGCTGACCATTTCATTTTTTTTTAAATGTCGGTTCAGATGGTCAAAGAACTCTTTTTCTGTAGAGCTAGTGCTTTGTTACAGCACTCACATGTGAAACACAGACCACGTGGTTCACAAACTCCCGCATTTGAACTTACTGCATGAGAATGATATCTTGACAAATGTGTTTTAAGACTTGCCCATGTCTTAAAAGTACAGTAACAATTTTCAAAAAGACAAAGCATAACTTGTCCTCTGCATGCATGACATAATCTATAATGTTTCAGTAAAGCTAGTTTCGAAGACGCTTTTAATTTGCACACCTTGCAAATCCAGTCCATTTTAACTCGCTAACAAGAGAACATTCCCGAACGTCTTTGTATGAAAAAATGCATCACACTTTACACAGACCGCAAGACTCTCAACAAAACGTGTCTAGCGAAATCCAAACTGACTGTAGCAAAGAAAATGGCGGGTCAACGGTTTACTTTTAGCCTTTCACACTCGACAATTGTATATTTGAATGATTCATAAAGTACGTGACCATTTGTTTCACAGAAGTAACAGCAACAAATTGTACACATATTTTTGCTCCTGGTTTGAATAAAATGCCACGTACCTTTCACACGTGCTTGGAGAAGCAGTTCAGCGGATCACGTCCTGATCACGTCTTTGCAGAACTTGCCCGGGCATGTCCAGTGGGAGGAGCATGGGCCACTCAAAGCATTAAGTTGCCAGGTAAAAAATTCGAGTTGTGGAGGAGTTTTTTTATTTCACGCCAACTAATTTTTTGTTGCAATTGTTGTAACATAAAAAGGTCTTTTCAGGCAGGTAAATATTTTTGTCTTACTGAACAGTCTCAATATTTGAGTTGAAATCGGTAATCAAATTATACCTGCAGCACAGAAAATTAACCTACACTGAGCAGCTCACTTTTTCTACTTTGTGGAAATTGATAATTAAAGTATTTTCAGTAAGTGACCTGGATGACTTTTAAGAGTGTACCCCGGTTGGGGCTCGGGCCTAATAAAACTATCCCAGGAGCGCAGAGGGGGTCAGGAGGAAGACGTACTGGAACCCAGAGTTGACCTCTCTCGAAGAACAGGGGCACAGGAGACCACCCTGGACGGAAAACAATGTCCAGCGGTGGCACAGATTCACTAGCAGGAGACAACCATCCCCGATGTAGTTTCGTACAAGATTCCCTTGTACCGGCACTTTTTTTGGGCCACTTAAAGCACTGTGCGCAAGTTTCACAAATGAGGGCCACTGTCTCTACATTCAAGGCCACGCTTAAAACAGTAATTTAGCATATGGTTTGGTAAGGCTCTACGTGTTTTTTAACATCTGATCTATGTTGGCGAATCTTTGTAAAGTCCTCCGACACTGTTGTGTTTTAGGGCTATACAAAAATGAATTGAATGAAATTAGCATGATGAACTCATGATGAACTAAGGCATTCATCAATGTCTAGTTATTATAAAGCGTTACCAAAGTTACTTTTCACAGTACTTTTGCAGCAACCTGCTTTTACCTCAATTGTCTATCTCACACCGCTTCCTTCCCTCTCTGTGAACTGGACCTGAGATATTGGAGGATCACTAAGGAAAAACCTATAGAAGACGAGGACAAAGGCTTCGGATTTGGAGGAAGTGTCATGTCCCACTAGAGCTTCACCAGGTTTGAAAACTGTTCTGGGGACATCCTTGGCTAACAAAGATCCTAAATAGGACTACAATGTGTATATAATACTATTAAATTAGCCTTAGCTCACAGCAGAACCAAAAAATTGAATTAAATGCATACAAAATCTGAACTGCAGAGGAGTGAACCAGCAGCTGAAGGAGCTCAGGGGGCCCCAGGGGTTCGTGCATCTCCCTGGGAGAAACACCCACCTGTAGCTGCAGGACCTCCTCGATAGTGGGCAGTTCTCCCATGGGGGTGCAGTAGGGGCCCCATGAGCGCGGGGCGGGGGCTGAGTTGCTCATCAAGTGGCTGAGATCCTCGGGGGGGCTGTAGGCAGGGGCCGGGACATCGCGGCTGGCGCTACTGACGGGGCCGAGCACAAAGTCAATTGGGTTTCCCATGACTATGTCCACATCGCTGTCCAGGCCAAAGGGGATGCTGAAAGCCACGGCAGACAGGGGCCCACTGCAGGAGGACGGTACAGACGGGACAGCACATGTTAGAGAAGGTCACGGCCCACGGGACTAGCACACTTTACCTGATCTGCTTCTTGGTCCAGCTCTGGTTCTCTGCAACACAAACAGTAATTTAGTGTACGGCTCCCAATGTTTTGTATTTAATTGATTATAGTGAGTGTACATTTGTCACTGTAAAGAAAACTGTGTGCACTGTGCATGGAAGAATACTTTCAAAATCTATTTAGAATACTGAATACCTGCTTGTTATTTTTTCTTAACATTTCCCGTTACATGGGGCAATCAAATTACTGTATTCTGAATATATTTGATACTTATACAATAATTATCATTATAGTACAGTGTATAAAAATATTTAGTGGTGTGCCTCTGTTTGCATTGAGTCCCCCAAGACAACCATAGTTTACAAATGAATGCAACTATGTCTTATGGGCCTCATTCACGAATAACTTTGTAAGAAACTTCTTAAATTTCTTCTCAAGTCGTTCTTAAGTAGATTTCTAAGAAGAGCCTACGTGGGATTCATCAACGCGCTCGTAAGGCGCTGAATTGTTCGCAGCTGTTCTCTCAGATTGATGAATGCCAACTCCTCGTAAGTAGAGCGCGCGTGCCCGGTGATTCATTAGCATAGGTACTTAGCATAGGTAACCGCCCATTAATGCCCATATAAGGGACTTCAGGGCCGTGTGCAGACGCCAGAGGAAACAGCAACAGGCCTAAAGCAAAGAGTTACACGGAGCAAAAGAGTCACCCTTTTTTCTTATTTTGCCAGACTGAGAATAAAGTTATAAAATGTTGACTTAAAAGTCGAAATATTATGAGAATAAAGTCGAACTAGAAAAATTATGAGATTAATCTAAGAATATGATGAGATTAATCTCAAAATGTTATGAGCTTAATTTAAAAATATATTATGTATTATTTTAAAGATGAATCTCAAAATGTTTTGAGATTAATCTAAAAATATTTTGGACCCTGGGAGGAGATCCAGCGCGGACCAGCGCTGAGACCAATGCAGACCCGAGGAGAGACTGGAGTGACCAGCACACAGAAACCAGAGCGGACAGGAGAGACCGCAATGACTGTAGTGACCTGACTGGAGAGACCGGTGCGCAGAGACCAGCCGAAGAGAGACCGCATAGACTGTAGTGACCTAACTGGAGAGACCGGTGCGCAGAGACCAGCGCGGACCGAAGAGAGACCGCATAGACCAGACTTGAGAGACCAGCGCGGACCCATAAGGATCCAGGAGCATGCAGCACGGACCCGTATGGAGAGACCAGTGCAGACCCGTCTAGAGCCATGGGAGAGACCAGTGCAGACCCGTCTAGAGCCATGGGAGAGACCAGTGCAGACCCGTCTAGATCCATGGGAGAGACCAGTGCAGACCCGTATAGTAGATCCATAGGAGAGACCAGTGCAGACCCGTATAGATCCATAGGAGAGACCAGTGCAGACCCGTATAGATCCATAGGAGAGACCAGTGCAGACCCGTATAGATCCATGGGAAAGACCAGTGCAGACCCGTATAGATCCATAGGAGAGACCAGTGCAGACCCGTATAGATCCATAGGAGAGACTCAGCGCGGACCCCGTAACCTCCTGCAGCAGCAGTATATATGCCGTTGTTCTGTGACCCGTGGATAAAGAAATGCCCCCTATAAATAGGAAGGGGTCACTAATACACGGCAAGATTTCCAATGTATTTGATAAAGCGTTGGCACATTTCATTTCAAAATGAATCAAAAAGTAGGCCAGATCTGCAGTGAAAAAGGCGGTATATAAATAACGATTACTACTAAAGATTACTACAAATAAATAAATACATACATCGATATGACGGACATATCACTGGAATGTTGTATTTTTATTAAACTTCACCAAAGAGGACAACCCCGGCGTGTGAACATGTTGGCACTGAATGCGTACGAGTGCTCCTGAGGACTCGTAGGATTTGTACTTCCCCAAGAGAAATTCTGGTTACGAGAAAAATTCGTGAATGCCACTTTCTTCGTAAAAACCTCGTAAGTAGGATTTACGTACAAATCTGTTCCTAAAAACCGTTCGTGAATGAGGCCCATTCTCTTTTGAATACTTGTAAGAAAAATTCACGGTTCCACGGATCTAGAGCCCATCCGTCTGTGGCTAATTTTCCCACTGGGTTTTAGAGTTTTTCCTTACCGATGCAGTAGGGTCTGTTAGACTGTTAGAGGATCTAACTAAAAGGACAGTGGTGATGATCCAGGAAACTCAACTCAACATTTATGGACATTTATCATCATTTATGGACATTGGTCATTTCTTGTGTTGAACTGTTGATTCTCTGATCTGTGTTGGAAAATTCAACGGTTCTGTTAAGTTTGTTAACTACTGTTGTGAATAAAATGAATTGAATTTGACTCATCTGGAGAAATCGCAAGTCACTTAAGGTTAAATAGTCGATCTAAAGATGGATGTGAAAACTAGTGATAGATCTACATTAGATTTGTTGTGGTTTGACAATTAGATACCTCAGCTTTGATAGTCTCTTGTCATTTAATTTAACCTGTGTGTCTCGCTTCAATCATTAATAACTTTCCCAATTTGGTTGCTGATGAATAGTGTGTCATTTTTATATACCTATTATCTACCTATCTATTCTATGATATACCTTTGCCCACCCAGTATGGTGTCAGTCCAAATACCTGCTGATACTTCAGAAGGAACAGGAACAAATGGCTGCTTGAAAATGTATGAAGGAGAACTATTGAAACAGAGAACATAGATTCGTCATCTATTTCAACAAGACAGCTGTTTTAACCTGTGTGTGCATTTCCCACCTGTTTGTGTGGCAGCCGACTGGGCTGGTGCAGTCCAGGACTCCGGAGATATCTGAAAACACAAACATTTAATCATATCAGAGAAATATGTTTATGTCACCCTGGTCTAAGCACCAAGACTCACCAGTCAGGTCCACTGGCTGCAGTGGTTGCACAAAATCCGGCTTCTGGACCTCAAAAAAGTCCATGAGCTCCGCCAGGAAGGCTAGGATGTTGGTCTATGAATTACAATTATGAGAAAGAGCAAGAAATATTAAAAGTACTATTTATTTTGTATGGCTGAACGGAGTATGTTCTACAGCCAAACTAAGACAAATGGCAGATAATTAAGCCGTATCAGCTTAACTTGTCCACACTGTAGCTACTTAGGGCACTATAGGAAGTTCATGCCATTATCAGTGTTTAAGTGTCAAACGGAACACAAAAAGTTTTATAATACATTCTGAAAAGTATGGTGTCTAGCGCCACTTTTCCAAATTTACCACAATCTGGACCGCAATGCTTTAGGAGTCTTGAGGGTTTTTTGTTAGGGAGTAGGGTGGCCATGAGGACCCAAAACTTGTATGAATAGAATATTTCAAATTCAAATCTCAAAGAATTAACAGAAGTGTCATGCAGCAGCTGACAGTACTTCTCAAGTTTAAGGAACTGAGGAGAGGTTTCCAAAAAAGCCCAGTCAGGCCTGAACTCACATGCAGCAGAGGCGGCGTGTACAGCAGGTCTTCCACTTGCAGGGGGCAGCACTGCTGGAGGTGTGTGTTGCAGAAAGCCCTGATGAGCTGCAGGTTGTACACACTGTCTGCCACCGACATGGTGTCCTTCAGGCAAACGTCTGCAACAGTTTCCGAAAACTTTATTGATCCCAAAGGGCAATTTATTTGAAGCAGAATCTCAAAGCAGAACACAAAGACTCTACACAAACACACAGTGAGTCAGGCCTCACAGTTCACGCAGCAGCAGGTTACAAAAAGTTATCAAAAACCATCAATGCAAAGTCAGCTATTAGAGGATGTTTCTTAATCGAGTATACACTTTTCTTTGAACAGCACCCAGAGTGAAGGTCTCTTGAGTTTTCCTCCAGTGATTTTTGAGCATATTTTCAAAATACGCTTTCAATAAAAGAACAGTACAAAATATTAAGAATTATCCTGTTTTCATTAAGAGTTTAATTTCCTCAACAGGTATATTCTCTGCTGCCCTCTTTTAATAATAGACTCATGTTTATGTCAAACTTTACTTTGTCCCAACAACTTTCCACGATTTCAACATTGTCACCATGGATGAACATCTGGAATTAACAATCATGTGCTTGTTCTTTAAATCCAAGTAGTGATTTTTGCACCAGGTGACAAATTGTGCTAGTGCTGGGCCATGGCCCGCCTCTGAGCCAGCAAGCAGTGAAACCAGCACTGTGAAAATATCAGCAAAAGTCTGTTCTCCTCCTATGATGACAACACACAACAGCAACTGCACAGGGTTATATGGACTACATCTCAGCAAAGACGTGCAGAGCCTCCACTGCCATCATTGAAAGAAATCATTATGTTATTATTTTTTTGTAATATACTATTGTTTTCCACTGTCTTACTATGCTTATAATTTATTTTTGGCATGGTTCCGACTTGTTTTTGTTCATTTCTGTAGTCAAAATTGCTGAAATCCTATTCAAAGAGACGAGGTGAGTCAGTGCTCCTGTGTGCCTCACCCCAGATCACTCGCACCCTCACAGGGGACTGTGCCAGTGCACTGAGCTCGTGTTGGTTGATATACCGCTGTTTGTTTCAAATATCCTGCTTTAAAAACATTTCTGTTCACAGTGTTTAGTAATGTATTTCACATATGTGTGTCTTATTTATTTTTAGTTTAAGTTTATTGATCGGAGAAAAATACACGAGGAAAAAGCTTGCCTTCAGGCAGGCAGTATCTGTGCCTCACCGGTGGGTCAACTAAGGCTACGTGTGCTTTGAGCGAAACCACACAAAGCTCAGTTTAAGTTTCCATTTTCATAGCTACTGTTAAATAATGTTGGTGCATTCTTTCAAGTCTTTGCAGTGGCCCGAGGAGGATATTGTTGAGGAAGTGGTTAACTGCTGGGGGGGTTGGGGTTTGCGTGTGTTGCGTTGTAAAGTTCCACTGCCCACTACTGGCTGGGCGCTAGAACTGCAATGTTTTCCGCTGTCGTCTAAACGCTATCCAGGAGCCTGGTTGTTTTTGCTAATTGCTTTGCAGCGTCTCCGTCTAAACAAGGCTTGTCTCAGTATGCATGCAGACTCAGACCACTCTTGTTTCAGTATAGGTGCAGACCAAGCCCCGGTGATCCAAGATGGCGCCCTATTCAAATGAATGGCTTGTGCTCAGTAGTTTTTTAAATATCTTTATGTTTGAAGCCTGAAATGTGGCGAAATGTTGAAAGGTTCAAGGGGGCCGAATACTTTCGCAAGGCACTGTATCATACAGTATATGTTCTGTACCAGATTATAGCTAAACAGCTAGTTTCCATCTGCACTCCCAGTATACATGTAGGAGCGCATGGGACTTCACGGAGACCGAAAGATTAGCGCGAAGTAATCCATATTTGGGAATCGTCTGGTCCTCCCGGTTCTGCCAATGGACGAGCTCCCATGATACGTTGCGCCAAATGCGCGTGTGTGGCTCTCATGCACGTGCACAGAGGGGCTCGGCCGCGCTCTGACAAATCAGAGCTGGTGATCAGAGCAGAGTTAGAGCGGAGCCATAGCGGGAAGGAAACGAGCAGAGTTTGTGCCAGTAAAGTGTGGACTTAAAGAAAACCGAAGGATTTTAGAAGGAAAAAAGTTCAGGATGACAAGGGACACTAAAATCCCCACAAAATACGATATTTCTCAAAGCTGTAGGTTCTCTGTCAGCTGAGGTCAAGCTGTTTTGGTTTACATTGAGTTCTATGGGACTTTTTTTTGGGTATCCCACATGAATTTAGTCTGCAGTACCACGGGCACCCCCTATGCTCAAGGGTGGGTCAGCTATAAGCTAGTAATACCCGGTCCAGTTATTATTATAGATCCATGGTGCAGACTCAGACCACTCCTGTCTCAGTACACATGCACTCTCTTTATAGTTTAGTCTTAATTGGAGGAGGACAGTGGAGACATACAGTGCCTTGTGAAAGTATTCGGCCCCCTTTCAACATTTCGCCACATTTCAGGCTTCAAACATAAAGATATAAAATTTTATTTTTTTGTCATGAATCAACAACAAGTGGGACACAATCGTGAAGTGGAACAAAATTTATTGGATAATTTAAACTTTTTTAACAAATTAAAAACTGAAAAGTGGGACGTGCAATATTATTCAGCCCCTTTACTTTCAGTGCAGCAAACTCACTCCAGAAGTTCAGTGAGGATCTTTGAATGATCCAATGTTGTCCTAAATGACTGATGATGATAAATAGAATGCACCTGTGTGTAATCAAGTCTCCGTATAAATACACCTGCTCTTTGATAGTCTCAGGGTTCTGTTTAAAGCGCAGAGAGAACCATGAAGACAAAGGAACACACCAGGCAGGTCCGAGATACTGTTGTGGAGAAGTTTAAAGCCGGATTTGGATACAAAAAGATTTCCCAAGCTTTAAACATCTCAAGGAGCACTGTGCAAGCAATTATATTGAAATGGAAGGAGTATCAGACCACTGCAAATCTACCAAGACCCGGCCGTCCCTCCAAACGTTCATCTCAAACAAGGAGAAGACTGATCAGAGATGCAGTCAAGAGGCCCATGATCACTCTGGATGAACTGCAGATAACTACAGCTGAGGTGGGAGAGTCTGTCCATAGGACAACAATCAGTCGTGCACTGCACAAATCTGGCCTTTATGGAAGAGTGCCATTTCTCAAAGATATCCATAAAAAGTCTTGTTTAAAGTTTGCCACAACCACCTGGGAGACACACCAAACATATGGAAGAAGGTGCTCTGGTCAGATGAAACCAAAATCGAACTTTTTGGCCACATGCAAAACGATATGTTTGGTGTAAAAGCAACACAGCTCATCACCCTGAACACACCATCCCCACTGTCAAACATGGTGGTGGCAGCATCATGGTTTGGGCCTGCTTTTCTTCAGCAGGGACAGGGAAGATGGCTAAAATTGATGGGAAGATGGATGGAGCCAAATACAGGACCATTCTGGAAGAAAACCTGTTGGAGTCTGCAAAAGAACTGAGACTGGGACGGAGATTTATCTTCCAACAGGACAATGATCCAAAACATAAAGCCAAATCTACAATGGAATGGTTCACAAATAGACGTATCCAAAAGAAAGAGCTGAAGACTGCTGTTCACAAACGCTCTCCATCCAACCTCACTGAGCTCGAGCTGTTTTGCAAGGAAGAATGGGCAAGAATTCCAGTCTTTCTATGTGCAAAATTGATAGAAACATACCCCAAGTGACTTGCAGCTGTAATTGCAGCAAAAGGTGGCGCTACAAAGTATTAGCGCAAAGGGGCCGAATAATATTGCACGCCCCACTTTTCAGTTTTTTATTTGTTAAAAAAGTTTAAATTATCCAATAAGTTTCGTTCCACTTCACGATTGTGTCCCACTTGTTGTTGATTCTTGACAAAAAAATTTTTTTAAATATCTTTATGTTTGAAGCCTGAAATGTGGCGAAATGTTGAAAGGTTCAAGGGGGCCGAATACTTTCGCAAGGCACTGTATCATACAGTATATGTTCTGTATCAGATTATAGCTAAACAGCTAGTTTCCATCTGCACTCCCAGTATACATGTAGGATCAGACCACTCTTGTCTCAGTCTACATGCAAACCTCTCTTAGTCTACATAGGGTAGTGGGGCAGTATATAAAAATAGTTGGTGCAGGAGAGCAGTCCACAGCTTGTTGCATTTCGCGCCCCACCTCACCCTGCCCATTATGTTACTTTTTCTTCTTTATTTTTTAAAATTTATTTTGTAAATGTTTTGTATTTCCCAAAATAAAAGCCAAAGCGGCAAAGGGCTCTCAGCATTGACACACAAGTAGAACTTAGCTTTGGACCAAGAGCCATGTTTTGAACTGGACTTTAAAGCCAATTTTTAATAGCCGTGATTGGACACTGGTGGGTGTGTGTGCGCATACCCTCCAGCGGCAGCAGTGCAGGGCAGTAGTAGTGAAGGACAGCAGCCAGAGCACAACCGTTGGACAGGTCCTTGAGTCCAGAAACCAGGGGGAAGGTTGGAGTCAGCTTGGACTGCACTTTGTCTTTCCTGTAACGGATCTACACACGCGGACGGACACACACGTACACACACAATAGATCATCAGAGCACGAAGCAGACAGTATGTGTCTTCAAGTAAACAAGTCTCCAAATGTCCATGCTTTACCCTTACCCCTCATCCACAGAATCTGCATTCATAAGTGTATTATCCAGTATGACTATTTGTCCAGATAAAATAGTTATTCTATCTGCTTGCATTCAGTCTTTTGAATGCAGCAGAATGCAGCTATTTACTTTTCATGTTTTAGAATGTGGAACAAAGTCTCAAAAAAATGTATTCATGAGAATGTAAAATGGATAAAGAAGAGGTTAACATCAGTAAAACACATCGACTAGTGGTAGAAGTGGGACATTACTTTCTGCTTTTATGATAAACATCCCCAATGACTCGAGTTGAAGGCACACAGTTGATTGGAAGGTAATTTGACTGGAGAAACTCTCAAATTTTCCAAAAAACAAGGAAAAACATTTGTTTAAAAAACAAAAAAAACATTGGTTGTCTGTTCATGATGTCACAGTCTGTTTCTGCAAAGGTTAAGAGATCCTTTATTCGTCCCACAGTGGGGAAATTTCAGTGTTGCATCACAAGTTATAGAACAGTAGGAATGAGCACAAGATAAGTGAACAATAGCTACACTTATCAAAATAAAACAACATTTCTAACTCTATCATCAAATAACAAGTATAAAATATCTATCTTGAACATCCATCCATCCATTTTCTACCCTTTAATCCATTTCTGGGTCAGGGGGGTGGCAATCAGAGATGCCACCCAAGTCTCATAGCACCAGCCCCTCACTGACCCTCTGCAGGTGGTGAGTCCACAGGAGGACGGCTGCTCTCTGAGTGTGAGCATAGCCTTGATCTTTCAGCATAATCTTGAACATAATAATAATAATTATAATAATAATGGCCTATGTATCCTCTTAAAGAAAAAACATTGTTTTACCGTGGCGCAAAAGTTAGCTCTTTTCCTTCACCTAGTGTTAAAGGGCTTTTAAGATAAGATAAGAATTCCTTTATTTGTCCCACAGTGGGGAAATTTTGATGTTGCATCGCACATATAGGACAGTAGTAAGAGCACACAGGGAGCACACACAATATATGCAAATAAGTAGTAGCTATGTTTCTTAGCTAACATGACTAGCTGTAGATGCTGAAAATGCTTCAATACCAGTCAAAATATATATGTAGTAGTGCAGTTATATACTGTACAGTTAAATAGTGCACTTGACTGTGACTCTTGACTGGTGATATATAAATAAAGATGACTAAAGATCGCTCTAGACTTCAGCAGATTTTATCTTGTGAGATTTTAAGTTGTGATACAAAGTGCAGACATAGGGATAATATGAAAAAAATGTCAGATCAGATTCAGATTCATTTATTTGCCATTTGCAGTAAAACCACATTGGAAAAACTGTGCAAGACTACCCCAGTGTGCACCAGACGACACACCAGAGCTCTTGCCACGGCGCCATCTTTACGGCGCCATGCGACAATGTTCGTCTCACATTCCCAGAGATCACACGCTTAATAAGCATTTCCTGTAATAAGGACATGGCTGTATCCAAATTCAAAAAATACACCCCATTGTTTCTCCTCTAAATACATTAGGAATCATGATTAAATTTAGTCTCACCTCTTACTTGAAAATGTTTTTATTTCACTTGACCTAACCCGGTTATACATTGTTTTTATAAAAGGTCAATATTACAGAACAAGAAAGAATAAGGAAGGATGTACCAAAATGGTTTGGATTTGGCCAGTGGAGCAGTAAATCTGCATCTGTAAAATAGCTCTATGATTAGCTGTAGTTTCAGTGGTATAAATAATGAAGAGGGAAGAAAATGTTGCTGATTTACAAAGTTGCATAGACTATAGACAATGTGTGCGGTAGTAACAGCGGCTGTCATCTACGTTTTTGTTTATACACAAAACTGCAAATGACCTTGTCCTGGACTTCAGCACCATTATGGGCCATGCTATGTCTGTATATACCACATTTTACAACACGATCTCACAAGATCCACTGACTCCACAGATATTACGGCTGTTTGGAGAAACCATCATATACGACAATCCAAACGCCATCTACCCAATAATCTTCATCCTAATCAATATAAATACAATAAATTCTTGTGCAACCAGAGGCAGAGCAGTCTTCTGCCCTTAGAAACAAAGGCTTGGTTTTGGGAAGTTCTCCAGTCAAATGTCATTAATCAAAATCATATGCCTTAATTAAGACTGCACCATGTTAGATTTGAACCTATATCAACTAGACAAAGGACGATTGTTCACCCATCATCTGTACTTTAGTTAGCACATTTTCTGACGTTTTATTCTTAATCCAAAGAACTTTCTCAAGGAAATGAAAGCTCAGCCGTGAGTTGGAGATTATAACATTTTCAGAGTGGTCAGAAAATCAGGGGGTGCCCTGATCCTGAGGCTCTGATCCTGAGGCTAACTCATTAACTCATCTATTGACTGCTAAGATTGCTGAGGTTGGGTGCAGGTCTAACAATCCTGCAAGGGCTAACAATCCTAGCTCATCAGCATGTCACGTACCTATTGTTTGCTGAGATTGCTCGGGTGGAGTGCAGGTCTAATGATCGTAACTTATGAGCTTGTCGCTGACCTTTCCCTGTTGGACATATTGTTTGGGTGTTGCTTTTAAGACGTCGTCATAGATGAGAGGCAAAACATATTTTAACCCCGCCCCCAGGGCCGGCCCTAGGTCACCAGGCGAAAATATGTTATGGCGGCCCTTGTACATTTGTAGAGGGTATCACAATGAACAAGTGTGCAGTGAAAGTAGTCGCAAACCTACTTCAGATTTAAAAACAATTACATTTAAATTGTGCATTTTGGCGGTTCATTCCTACGGCTTCTCTTTCCACTTTAACGTAAGTATCCAAAAGGGGCCACACGCTGTTAATCAGTGTTGGGCAAGTTACTTCAAAAACATAATACATTATGTTTTACTTATTACTGTTATTTCAAAAGAATGTATTAAACTACAATATTACTGTATCTGAATTGTAATGAATTACACAACTACTGCATTCTCCAAATATGTTGTAAGGGGATCGCGCATACAGAGGAGGCAAGGAGGAACCGCGACAATGTTACGCATGCGCAAGATGGCGGACGCATTTGTTTGGAGCCTTTATTGAGCAGCACGTTTTTTATGATTTATTTTTAAACTAAGTTTCTTTTACTGTTTTTATTTGCCCTGCTCAACGGATTAAGCGGATTTGAACAGACTGCATCAAAAAGGATTACTGTCACTTTTAACTGGACTGTTTATCAGCCTTTCACCGGTAACCAGCCTGCCCACACACATCACCATGGACACCGATGCTTCCCCCGCGAACTCATACAAACAAATATACAAATCACAACTTGCTTCAATCCTTCCATCCAAACCTGTTAACACCATGACCCCCGAGGAACTTCAGCGCACTATCACAGAACTATCCACCGAACTTATGCATAAAGAGAAACTTCTGGAACATTTCATGGACATATCATTCAAACAGTCACAGAAAATCTCACTCTCCGTACTCAGACACTCACAACTCCACGACACAGAACTCTGGGATCCAATCACCTGTCCTCACCCCTCATCATGCTCTACCCCGGTGCTTACCTCACGCTCCCGGGTTGCAGCTGTTCCTCCTGTCCCTCCCGGTGCTCTTCCCTCCTCTTCAGTACCGGAGCCCGCTGCCCATACCCAGAGCGGCGCGGAGCAGAGGCCTGAAGGCCACACGACATCCACAGCGTCCTCTCGCCGCAGGTTGGTGGAGGAGGCTGTGCGCAGACGCTCGGGGAGCTTCCCACGCTCTAAAACAGCGCGGGGCTGTCCGGGTGTCACGCAGGACCAACTGCGGGAAGCCCCAGGGGGATCTCTATGCCCCGACGCGGCACCGGATACCCCCGGGAGCGCTGTCCCTGCTGTGGGAGGGTCCGTGTGCTCTGACGTGGAGGGAATCCCCAGAGGCGAGACACAAAGCAGGTCCTACGCTGAGGTGGCCGCGGGGGTACCTCTGCGCCCAGGCACGGCGTGGAGTCCTCCCGTAGACGCTGCATCGCTCGCGGGGGGGGTCCCGCACGGCGCAGAGTCCTCCCGTAGTTGCTGCCTCGCCCGCGGGGGGGTCTCTGCGCTCTATCTCAGCGCGGAGCTCTCCCGCGGAGGCTGTCTCGCCTGCTGGAGGAGCTCTCCGCCCGGTGCATGGCCCTCCCACACCCGCTCACTACCACCACTACCAACCCCACTGCAGGGGCGCCGGCTCGGTCTCCGGCTCCCTCCTCCTGCTCCACTGCGGCTCACGGGGCTCGTGGCAGCTCCGCTCTGGGCGCCATCCCAACGCTCTCCTGTCCCCTGCTCTCCCCCGGGCCCTACTCCAGTCACACACCCCCTCCACGGCCTCTGTTTGCACCAACTACACTCCTGGTGGGAGATTCTATCATCAAACACTGTAATTCTTCAATGCCATCACGCACTGCTTTCCTGGAGCCACTGTCCCCACTATCCTCACTAAACTACCCGCACTTCTACAGACAGCACCCCCCACAATAACCCGGATCATAAAACATGTTGGTACAAATGATGCTGCACTCCGCCAATCTGAAACCACCAAACTCCATTTTAAGGACCTTTTTAACCTTTTATCGAAATCCGGAAAAAGTGTTTTTATCTATGGCCCTCTGCCCACGTTGAACCGGGGCGTGGAACGTTTTAGCAGGATACTATCACTTAACACTTGGTTAAGTTTCCGTTTCTCTTCCTGTTTACATTCTGCCACTGTGCGCTAACAGCTTGAGCATGGATTGGGTTGTTTGTAACAAAGCAATGTGTACAACTGTGAGACGTGTCTTTCCCCAAAGTGCAGCAGCTCAGTGTGTCTGTGTGTGCGCGGGCGCCGCGGACATGTGAGCACGCTTTGGATTAAAGAGCGTAAACGCAGAGAAAAAAAGAATGAGATTGAAAGAATGGAAGTGTGCCGTATGAGCAGAGCGACCGGAGCCAGGCATGATCCAAGTGTTTGTTGGTGTGTTCTGGCGATTAAATAAAGTCTGATTCTTGAACGTCTGAAGTGTTATTGTAAATGGACCCTACTGTGAGAGCGAGGGTCAGGACAGAAGGTAGTTATTCCCCGTAGAAAACGCTTCCTTTTGGCTCTGGGGCGACACACTCCCCAGTGCCCCTTGACCACTGTAAGGGGCTTTTATGAAAGGTTTAACCCAAGTGGAGAATAAGAAAGTGCAGAGATGCGTGTGAAAATGCGTGACACAGGAAGACGTAATATGACGCACAATATCAAGTCCCCACCACACCTCATCCCCCACTCTCCACCACCCGCCACACTGACCCCCCTCATCTTGGCTTTAGAAGCGTGCTCTGGCCCACCTCTCTTAACCGTACTCAGGCCCACTTGCAGCAACCGTGCCCAAGCCCAGTTGCCGCGGTCACGTAGCACCTAAAGCCCGGATATAATCACAAAGTGGGCCCAGGCACACTTTCACTGGGATTAAGCCTGTGCTTGTGAGATTATGCATTAGACTCATCTGTCCATAGGCTGCATGTCTCTGTTCATACCTCTACTTTGAACCCGTTGATCAATCTCTTCTTTTCTTCTGTGTTTATTGGCTGCACCTAACGGCTTGGGCTGCCTTTTCATAATAACGTTGACCAAAAACACGTCCCCCCCCTTTCACACTTTATGGGATGCGCGAGGCTGCCCCTCCCCCACATACTCACCTTGGCGTGACAAGAGTGCAGTCTACAGCAGCAGGATTCAATGATGACAATTTTAAGTTTATGGTAGACATTTAAAAAAAAAATCAATCTCAAGCGAAACACTTTGCAGATGTTTTTTTTTTAGTTTTTTTAGTTTTTTTACTTTTCTTTTTTTTAAGACTGCAATTTTGCACCCCATCCTCCAGATGGCGACCCAGGCGGTCGCCTATGCCCTGGGCCTGCCCTGCCCGCCTCACCTGTTTTGGGATGGTTTGTGTTTCCTTAAAAAAAATGGCTTCTTTCACCCCTCTCTCAAACCATTTTTTTGTCTAACCACTCCCATAGGTTAAAATTTCCTACTGCGGCTGAGCTTTAATTTCCTTGAGAATGTTCTTTGGATTAAGAACGAAACATCGGAAAACCCGCTAACGGAAGCACAGACTACGGGTGAACAACCTTCCTTTGTTTTGACAAATACCTCTTAGACAAGTACGACTTAGAGCTTACACAATCTACATCAACTAGAATGTACTACCCCTTCTACCACAAAATGGGAGTGTTGCATTATACAGTACATTCATATATTCATTCATATTTTCTACTTATGAAGTGATTTCACATAAAGGTCATGTTAATGGGACAACATGAACACACTGGTAATCACACACACACCGTCCAGTGAAGCATGCGTCACATACATAGGAGTGTGGAACAGCACATGCATCAGACAGACACCCTCCTCTGCTGACTACACCCGAGAACATTGAGTTGACCGCATCATGCTAACCACACCCAGAACACGCCGAGGTGACCACACCCTGTTCACATCCTTGTTTACCTAGTGACCATTTTGATTATTGATCATTGTCAAGAAAAAAGACAAGGTCAAAAAAAGTATTGTAAAGGCACTTTCATACTGCAGCCTTGGTATTTAAACGTATATAGGAGGATTTTTTCCCGAATTTTAGGAAAGAACCGCCCTCTACTTTTCTGAAAAAATGCACATGCGCAGTAGGGGACGCCTACTAAAACAAGTTACTGTCAGCATTGCTCACGAAGTTCACTTTCCAAGAAGATTTGCACTTTTTCCACTATGTCAGAAAATATAGACGTAGATAACTTTTACTCGAACTGATTGGAAATAGATTTCTCCAAATTGAATGCCAAACTTTACCTGTCGAGTAGAAACTTTGGGACTGAAGCATCAGTGGGAAGCCCAACCTGGGCTTTGCACATGCCATCATGTGAAAGAATCTTCCAGAAACGAGCACATACGACAGCCTTATCAACAGAATGATTAACAATTAGGAGGACCCAGGGCTGGACCGGGACCAAAAAACGGCCCGGGCATTTTTTCCTCCGTGACGACCCGGCCTGTTATTTACGGTTATTTATGCGGTATGCGGAAGCACATACTGAAGAGGATGTATGCAGTTTCAACAATTAAAATAAAATGAAATACATTACAAGAGAGTAATAAATATTTCACTACTCAGAGTGAGTCACAGTACCAAAACTATTGTTGTTTGTTACAGGAATGAAAATGGGATACTAAAAATAGTCTGAATAAATCTGTTTTATTTGTTCACAACATTATACTTTTGGGAATAACCAAAGGAAAATTCAGGTACCCCAGCATTAATTTAGCAAGTTTAGTTGCGCTTTTTGGGGGAGACACAGATACTTTTTGACACCCCATCCTCCAGCTCAGTTTCTTTCAGAGGTGCATTTATTGCGTTTAAGCAAAGACACGCACACAACAAGCAGAGAACCTGCGCGCGCGCATATGTTCCTAGGAACATTATGACCACGTTAAGATTTTGATTGTTGTCAAAGCAACTTTATAAAAGAAAGAGCAGCATTTGCAAAAGCCAAAACTTGGTAAGAGCTTTACATGTTATATGGCTTGTTACGCTGTCATCATGCAAAGTATTCTTTCTCGTGTGACCTTGTGTGTGTACTTTTATAACCTTCTTCACCTGACCCATATGTATGCATTGGCCATGAAAACAGTTTGGCCTTTTTGCTGTTTCAGATTGTCTGCGTGTTCCCACAGACAACGTTGCGGCAAAATGTTTAGGATCCGAGAAGGACGACAGTGATTGGTGCCTCAGGATGTTTTGATCAGTGTTCACATCATCCAAAATGCACAATGCAAAGGTACAGCCCCTCCCCTACCACAATCAGTCTCCGCCCCTCGTTCATAACATGGATGGCGTGGTGTGTTTCTTTGCGGCAACACGGGTCAAACACAGAACAGCGAGGGTTATACGTTACCACAGGAGGTTTATTCCCGGACTCCTTCAAACAAAAAGCGATAGCATGCTGATGGAGGGATGAGAGAGAAGACAGGCATAAATGACAGCAGTGACAGGGGCGGGGCCAACACAGAGGGACAGGGACACCTGAGAGAGGGAGGGTCCAACACAGAGGGGAAGGGACACCACAGAGGAGAAGGGGACACCTTAGAGAGGGGGTGGAAAGGGGGATACAGAGGGGTGGGAACATACACATGGTTCAAACACGCACTCACACAACCTAAAATCTATCATATTAAAATTTAAGGGAGCTGGCATGAGAAATGACATGTTTACTGCTTTGGCTTAGACTTGTCCCATGCTCAGAAACGAACATGGAAGACTTTTTATACTACATTCAGTAGTATGCAGACAGGCACAAAAGTCAGTGATTTTCCATTTGGTGTCATGGAGATCCATGACATCCACATCAATGCCACGTCCACAACAATCTGTTGTGGACTTGGCAGATGCCTTTAGCTACATAGCTAAAGTCTGGTGTATTTACTGCTCTTCCTGTTCGTTGCTGTTTGAGCCAAGTAAACAAATAAACATTAAACAACTGCTGTGTTCTTCTCTGGGTATAAAAAACAGTTTGTGAAGGGTGACCGTTTCACTGGTCCGAACCACATATGTAGAAAGACACAGGTCCATGCACTCACATATGCACACATATACACACACAAGTTTGAGTTACAGCTGACTTACCGGAACCAGTTTCCAATACCATCGGTTGGATTGGTTCTGAAAGACAAATACATATAATACATTATCAATATGTTCAATAATTCTAAATATTGAGGTTTATTGTTTATTGTTTACTGGGGATCCCCATTAGCTTCCACCAAAGTGATCCTCCTGGGGTCCCAGTTAAGACGAGTGTATTACAAAAAGAAGAATAAAAATACAAAAAATAAATACATTCATTAATACAGTACATTATTCAAAACAATACATTTTTCAGTACCATAATGTTAAAAGCGTAGATCAAATAGATAAATTGCCAAGCCAGCATCCGTAAACAACCCAAGGCATCACGGCATTAAGCCATGCATTATAATGATGCATTGCAAATTTGATATTTGAGTTTTCTTTTTAAAATATGTAGAGAAGTTTTATCTCTCATCTCCCTAGGAAGCTCATTGCGGCACGGTGGCTGAGTGGATAGCACTCTCGCCTCTCAGCAAGAAGGTCCTGGGTTTGAATCCCGGTCGGACCAGGGCCTTTCTGAGTGGAGTTTGCATGTTCTCCCCGTGTCTGCGTAGGTTTCCTCCGGGTACTCGGGTTTCCCCTACCACTAAAAATATGTACAATAGGTCTGGCATGCGCCTCCTATACTGGCGACCCCGCTCCCATCTCTGTGTGGAGCGAGAGGACAAGTGCCCAAAAATAACAATTGTAAACCGCTTTGAGACTCCGATGTGCAGTGAAAAGGCGGTATATAAATAAATAAGAATAAGAATAAGAAAACTTTATTGTCCACCAAGGTGGAAAATTGCCTTTGGTTATCACCTTAAAATACATAAAAAGACACACATCCAGCACAATATCATGTGGCACTACATTCACAGAACAATTGGAAGAACAAACCAACAAGGCCACCTCCGGCCTAAAGACAAGACTCAACCTCAGGACTGCTCAAAGCTTAAGAGTGTTTACCGCTTTCACTGCTCTGGGCACAAAGGAGTTTTTAAAAATGTTTTTCTTGGCTGATATCACTCGATATCTCCGTCCTGACGGCAGAAGTTCAAACTTTGGGTTTAGCGGATGGGAAGCATCTTTAATGATGAGCTCAGCCTTCTTTCCCAAGCGCTCCTCAAACAAACACTGGAGAGATCTTTGTGGCTGCCCAATGATCTTCGAGCTCTGGTTCACGATCCTTTGGAGTTTGTTTTGGTTCTTCATGCTGAGGTTGCCAAACCACATCAGCATGTTAAAGGTGAGGATGCTCTCCACCAGGCTCTTGTAGACCGTCTCAAGGATAGAACGACTCACACCAAAATTATTCAGTCTGCGAAGCAGATACAGTCGCTGTGAGCATTTCTTAAAAATGAAGTCTGTGTTCGTAGAAAAGGTAAGTCTCCCATCTATGTATGTGCCAAGGTATTTGAAGTCATCGACCATCTCAACATTGGCACCATGAATCTTCACTTCTATCAATGTCTCTTTATCAATGTGCACAATGAGCTCTTTTGTTTTCAAAACATTGATTTCTAAAAAGCTGTCCACACACCACTGCTGTAACATGGACAAATAATTAAAATAGAGACTCTCCAAAACAGTGTTCCCTTTCTGTAGTAAGGCAACAAGAGCCATATCATCGGCATATTTAAAAAGTTTAAAAGATTCCTCATGAACTTGAAATGCATTAGTATAAATAGAAAAAAGCAAAGGAGACAGAATTGTCCCTTGAGGCGCACCTGTATTTAAGACAGTCACTTCTGAGATATCAGAACCAAGTACTACTCTTTGAGGACGATTAGATAAAAAGTCTCTGACCCATTTGATTATACCTCCATTAACACCCAGGTCCATAAGTCGACTCAATAAAATATGTACCTGCATCGAGTTAAAAGCTGACGTGAAATCCACAAAGAGAATTCTAGCATAGTGGTCAGAGGCCTGTAGATGTTCGGCTACAGTGTTAAACAGAGTGATGGCTGCGTCCTCTGTGCTTCTCCGACTTTTGTATGCAAACTGTAAGTTGTCCAAACAGTGTGATACAGAGGACATGATGTATTTGCTTACAGTTCTCTCCATGGTTTTACACAAGATGGAGGTCAGTGCAATAGGCCGATAATCATTCAGTACAGATGCTCCAGCGTTCTTAGGGACAGGCACAATATTTGTACGCTTCCAGGACTCAGGGCAGGTGTGTGTCTGTAGAAGGACATTAAAAATCACAGTAAAAACACCTTTCAATTGATGCACACAGCTTTTCAGGAGTCTCCCTGAGAGGCCATCTGGCCCGGTGGCTTTCCTTGGTTTTATCTGGGCTAAGCTAGCAGCCACTTCTTGTTCAGTAAGAACAATATGGTCATATTCTGGGATCGAATCGCAAATAAAATCACAATCTGAGCTAAAATCAGTCTTATCAAACCTACTGTAGAATACATTCAAGTCATTAACCGTTACCGAAGAAGAAGAGAGCGCAGTGCGTTTGTTCTTTGTCTCCCTGCCCATGATTTGGTTTAAGCCCTCCCATGCAGTCCTAATGTTACCTGAGCAGAAATTCCTCTCCACCTTCTTTCTATATTCTATTTTTGCTTTGTTCATCTGACATCTTAATTCTGATCTCTTTTCTCTGACAAGGTCTGAATTACCATTAAGGAAGGCTACCTTCTTTTCATTAATGCAAACCTTCAACTCACTTGTCATCCAAGCTTTGGTGTTGGGATAAATCTTAACAGTTTTTGTGCAAATGACATTACTTTCACAGAAGGTCAAATAAAATGTAATGGTATCTATGAGATCATTTACATTGTCACAAGAGTCAAAAAAGATCTGCCAGTCCGTTTGTTCTAGGCCATCCCTTAAAGCCTCAGCACTGTCCTCTGTCCATATGCGCACATCCTTTATTACTGCTCTTTCCTGTTTCAGTTGTGCCCTGTATTTCGGGAACAGGTGGATAACATAATGATCGGACCTCCCCAAAGCGGGCCGACAAAAGGATTTGTAAGCGTCCGGTATATTCCCATAGCACCTATCCAAGGTGCGCGTTTGGCGCGTAGGGCAGTCCACGTATTGCTGGGCTGTGGGCAGGTGACTAGCAAGATCACACGAGTTTACATCTCCAAGCACAAAGAGAGGCTGATCAGCTGATCTTGCAAGCGCGTCATTGTAACATTCTGCCACACGAGTTGCCGCCCCCTCAAAGTTGGGACCGGGTATATACGTCATAATTATTGTGATCTGACCGAATTCCCTAGGAAGATAGAAAGGTCTAATAGAGACAACCAGGATCTCATAGTCACGGGTGCAAACTTTCTCCCGCACCGTATACTGCGTAGCCCAACGCTTGTCAACAAACATGCACAAGCCGCCTCCGATAGATTTACGTGATTTAACATTGTCTCTATCCGCTCGTATAAGCAAGTATCCCGGCAAAGCAGGGTCTGGCATTCCCTCCTTTAGCCAGCTCTCTGTTAGGCAAATAAGATTGCTTTGTCTAAAGTCTCTGTCATATTTGACTTTTGCTGACAGTTCATCGATTTTGTTGTTAATGGAGCGTACGTTGGAGAGTGTGATTACCGGTAAGGGATGCCTGCTGCCACGTCTCCTCGCTCTCTCCCGTACTCCACCTCTAGATCCTCGCTTTTTAGCCTTATATTTTCTTCTTTTCGTCCGTTTCAACTCGGGGTGGTTATCCAAAACCCCACTTGAGATTCCTCCGAATGCAGCTTGAGTCCTGAGTGACAGCAGCTGTTCACGTGTGTATGTGAGGACGCCACATCTTCCAGCGTGGAATCCTTTTACTTTGCAAAGGATGAGAAGGCACAGCGCGAGCCACAGCAGAAAGCCAATGTTTAACTTCATTGTACATAAAAAGTAGTGCACTTATGATCACTCATACGACCAAAAACACCGAAACAGGTGAAAACCAGGGTCGACAGCACCCCTGCGCAGCACTGCTTACTATTACTTACTACTACTACTACTTACTCATTCCAAAGTTGAGCCGCTCGGAAAATAACAGTCTTTTTCAATGATTTTGTTCTGGGCCGATTGACGACCAAGTCAGCATTATGAGCCTGCCTAGTAGAATGGGAGTGAATCTGATGTACATATGTGATTTTTTCAAACATTGAAATTGGTTCACCAGCCAGTATTACTTCTTTCAGAAATATTAAAAGGCTATACTGTAGCTTACTGTGAACCAAAGGCCAGGATAACATTTTATGCATTTTCTTTATACTGGTAAAGTAAGAACAATTTAAAACCAGTCTTGCAGCCTTGTTCTGTACAACTTGCAATCTAGATATATCTGTGTTGCATGCAGCAGACCATATAATGGAGCAGTATTCAAGATGAGATAAAACAAGGGATTGGACCACCTGCTTCAAAATTGTTGTAGGTACAAAATAAGAACACCTTCTCACCACACCAATAGCGCTACCCATCTTACTGATCACATGGTCAATGTGCGGTGACCATGAGAGATGGTGATCCATAACACCTAAAAGAGGTCAACAGGAAAAATCCTGTGCAGGGAATTGAGCAAATAAATACACTTCAAAGTTCTATACTGTTAAAAACCGGTTCTACTAAAGTTATCTGGACAGAAGCACACAACAGACAAGGAATACGTTTTTCACTTGCATGTAACAAGGAAAAAATTCCTTTCAGCTGCGAAGGTGGCCTGTAGCATCCTACACAGCCAAAGACAAATAAATAAATAATTATTTATTTCAGAACAGAACCCTCACAGAATGGCCCCACAATATAAGAACATCCACACCCAACAGAATGGCCACACAAGATATAACATTAACCACTTCTAGGTCATGGTGCTACGTCCCTTAGGACTTCGCTAGTGGGATATCACGTGACCCCCAGGTCACACGCCAGAGAGATCAAAATAATTTGCTCCAATCACCAGCCACCCTCCTCTATAAATGCCCCTGCACAAGGCCGCACCCCCTCTTTCACTCTGGCGCCGTTTGAGATCTACCACAGTACTTACTTCATTCTGAGATGTCTTCCTTGTTCGTCCGAGTTCCCTTCGCCCTC